TATATATGAATACATTCACAAACAGGGATTCACATTTTAATGAGGAAATCTTCTGGGCTTGCAACCTTTTTTGATCATGCCCCCAAAAACAGATAATACTCTTAGAAAGATGAACTTGAATCTTGTAGTGCAACTTTTACGAAGTATATGTTTTTATTGTTGTCTACAACAGCCCAGGGTTAAACATTACTTGTACCAGTCTTTACAGTGTAGTTTTATAGCAACCCTTTTAATGGGATGCTGAAGAATGCATTTTGGGAGATGCAAGGAAAACCTAAAGGAGAGAAAGAAATCAATGAAAGTAATCCAGACTTGTGTTTACACTGGACAGAACTGCAGCAAAACTGATTCATTTTGTACAGGATGTATTGCGACAGCGCTGAGCGCAAGTCACCCACACTCTGGCTGTGCATAGAGCCCAATACACAAGCATACAAAGTAGAAGAAAATAAATGCTCAAAAATGCAGCTGAAAAACCTTCTGGCAGTCAGCATGTAGCGCTTCACAACAACCAGTAATCAGTTACTCAGAAATGTGCATAGTGTGTAGTTTGCATGGCCAAAGCTGATCCTGATAACAAGTGTTAAACTGGGAAATAATTTGTGATCAGTTTTCCTATTGTTTTGTTTTTGTCCTTGACTCTTGTCAGGTGAGTGGGTCCATGGATCAGCTGAGACATTTCATCTCCTTTTCATTTCTTGACTATCAGAAATTTAAAGTATCTGTGTCGGACAGCTATACTTCATTTTGCAGCATTTGTGCCTTGAGTTCTTTCTTTCTTGTTCACTTCACATGCTCAGTGAAGATATTGATATTTCTATTCTTCATATCAAGAGAGACTAAGTGTGGAATATATTCATGATATGCTCTACGTCTAAATTATCTGATGGAACATTTTGCTTCATCTGTCCACTCCAGTGTTTACAGTCATAGTGGATTATGTAACAATCCACTATGACTTCCTGTGGATTATGTTAAACAAAAGTCTTGCCAACATGCACAAAGAGTGAGCTGTGAGAGCAGTACACACTTTAAACATGCCAGTTTAGCAAAGGTTTCATTCTATTTGCGAAGGAATACATGCAAGCCAAACTCCACTTTCCCCCAAAGAGTGAATATAATCAGACATCCTATCAGCAGCTATTTTAAGCACAAATTGCTGCAAATGTGAGCCTAATCCACAAACAGTAGCTGCACCCCCAAACCTCTTTTATGGTCATTGTTCTGCATGGCCTAGCGTAAAATTACAAGTGAGGACAAAGTAATGTACTTTCCACCCAGTTTTCATGTGCATGATCACAATGGCAGGTGTGTGGAGGCTTTTCTTTTGTGAACAGCACTGGTGGCAGTTCACTGATGAGCGGTTCCTAAACAGCATGATGTTGTGATGTGTTCATGTTGGTCGTCTGAAAAATAGTCTGGGCCCTGAAGTTTTTGGTTGTTCTGTTTCAATCTACAACCTGGAAGTTTGTAGCAGTGCTATAGTCTGTATTATATCATGTTGCCCAGGCACTTATGACATTGTATGAAAATGTCTTTTTCTTGATCTCTGACTCTCCTAAATGTTAACAATTAGAACCTGACTGATGAAGGAATATATCAGCAACTTATCACATCTTAATCCACATACATGCTGGTAGATCCAGAAAGGCCAAAGATACGTTTTAAGTAATTTAGAAATGTTGATGTTGCATAGTTTGTCTACCAGAGGGTGCTGATAACTTTGGTTATAGACTGCAAATTGTCCTGCTTGATAGATAGCCAGGCCACAACTCCGCCATCTTGACAAAGTCTGAGGAAAATAAATTAATCTATTTAAACAGTGTTATTGCAAGGTACACTTGAAGAACTTTTAGCCACATGTTGTGGCCTTCATCTGCAGATGAAGCATGTAGCATAATGATAATGGATAAATAAGTGAATATTAGTATACTGCAGATACACTGTTAACGCAGTCTTGTCTTAAGGAAATGCCAAAATCTACACAAAAAGAACAAATTCAAGACATTTGGCTCGTCCATAAATGTTTGTGTATTCAGAATGAATATTACTCAATATGCTGTTTGTATTGTGAACTGTATTTCATAATTATCCAGTATTATTGTTAACTCGTATTTTTTGGGTCAAACATCGGTACCAAATACTTTCCACCTCTGCCATACACCATTTGCTGATGAAGGCTGAGAGATGTGGCTGAAAAAGTTGACTTTTTACTGAGGTTTTGTCAAACTAGTCACTGATAAACCCTTCAACTCATTTATAGAGTTAAAAATCTGTTATATAAAGATCTTTCTCGATAAAAGCTTTGTTACTGTTTAAGTATCTTTATGACCACACTGGCTGGTGATTTTTGGTTGAATAACAGTGGAGACATTTTCTCAATAATATCATGAGTGCTTCATGACTGAAACAGGACTGAAATGGAATATGTTGCCCCCTGTCCTGCTAAACTCAGTCTGGGTGTTTTAACCATATTACTTTCATCACAACGTGATGTGGAAAATGTAATATTTTTTCTTCGTAGCTCTTTGATTCTTTGTATTTGCTGATCCACTAACCACCACTTTTTCATGTTCACAATTCCATGTTGAAGAATGAAGCTGAGTCCCACACTGAGCCAGGCCTGTGAAAATGTTACGTAGCACCAACTCTGCACATGCTCAGTTCCTTCAGTTCTCTGGCTCAGAGCAGGTGCTAGAGCCCCCCCACTCTCCCAGCTCCATTGTCAGACTTCTGCAATCTTTGGTAACAGACCATATCAACCAGCTTAAGTCTGATGTTTTAGCGTTACTTAATAAAGTTTTTCTTTGTCAAGATAAGACAAAATAAACACACATCATTGCCATATTCTGGAAAACCTGCCTGACCTGTCTCATTTATTTTTTATATTTCACATGTCACATGACATTACACACAGACACACACACACACACAGACACACAGACACACATATTATGTGTGTGTATCAATGTTTTACGTCGGAGACTACAGCTGTGGTGGTGTAGGAGTACGGACTAAGCAGCAAGGCCAGGGTGTAGTGACGATGACCTCCAGCATGGGCCTCAAACACCACCTGTACACACACACACACACAGACACATACACATACACATGCATCACCATAGGGTCATTGACAAAAACATTTATGGTATATTCTCAAATGCACCACTTTGCTTGGAGTTGCAGAACTTGTTTTGTGCATTTGTCAGTGGCAATACTTTAATATCCATCCATCCATTTTCTATACACCGCTTAATCCTCACTAGGGTCGCGGGGGGCTGGATCCTATCCCAGCCGACTTAGGGCGAAGGCAGGGGACACCCTGGACAGGTCGAATACTTTGATATAAACCATAAATCACTTTTTT